TGGAAAACTTATACTTCCTGATTTCAAGACTTATTATCAAGTTGTAATAATAAAGACAAGGTGGTAATGCCATAAAGAAAAATAAACTGATCAACAGAACAAAATAGAATCAACTCACATTTATCCAACTAATTTTTTACAAGAGTACCAAAGGAATTCAATAAAGAAAGAGTGACCTTTTCAATAAATGAGGCTGGACAATTGATGTATGGAACCTCAAGCCCTGTGGCTGCCAGCCTCCAAGAATCCTTAATGATTCTCATCTCCTGGTATTCATGCCCTTACATAGTCCTCTCCCACTAAACAGAGCTGACCAGCATAACCAACAGAAATTGTGGAAATGATGGAGTGTGAATCCTGAGGCTAAGTCACAAAAGACACTGTAGCATCATCTTTCTTAGAACAGAACATCCTTCTTTTTTAGAACACCCTGTCTGGGCAAACAAATCCAGCTACCGCATCATAAAGACACTAAAGGAGTCCTGTGGAAATGTCCATGAGGTGAGAAACTGAAGCCTCTAATCAACAACCAGCTCAACCTGCCAAGCATGTGAAGTGAGCTATCTTGGAAGTAAATCCTCTAGCCCAGTCAAGCCTTCAGATGATTGTAGCCTGGATGACATCTTAACTGCAACTTCATGAGACCCTGAGCCAGAACCACTCAGCTAAGTCCTGAGTGGTTATATATATAATAACTCCCAGACTCCTGACCTACTGAAACTGTGAAATATTAAATATTTATTGTTGTCTGAAGTCACTAAGTTTCGGACTAATTTGTTACACCACAATAGATAAGTAATATAACCACATACAAAATTATTTTAATATAAAACTCACCTCTAAATGTAAAAGTTAAAAGTATAAATCTTTCAGAGAAACCATAGGAAAATATCTTTGTGCTCTGGGAGTGGGTAAAGATTTCTTAGGACACAGAAAGCAACAAACACAAAAGAAAAATGATAAATTCAACTTCACTGAAATGAAAAACTTTAGCTCATCAAAAGATCACTTTAAATACCTTACAATTTTGTCAGTTATATCACAGTAATGCTGAAAAAAAATTAAGAAAATGGAGTAGGCAAGTCACTGACTGCAAGAAAATATTCACAAAACATATATCACAAAGGACTTGATTCCAGAATATATAAAAAACTACAAATCAAAAATAAAAAGACAAACAGCCCAATTATTTTTAAGTGGGCAAAAGACTTTGACACTTCACAAAGGAAGATATAAAAATGGCCAATAAGCACATGAAAAGATGCTCAATATCATCAGTCATTAGCGGAATGCAAATCAAAACCATAATGAGATACCACTATACAGGCACGAGAATAACTAAAGCTAAGAAGACTAACAACACGAAATGCTGGCAAGGATATGGAGCAATGAAGATTTTCATCCCTTGCTGTTGTAACCACCTATCATCACCTCTGTGACTAGCAATTTCATTCTTAGGTATTTACCAAAAGAAATGAAAAGTTACGTCCACAAACAGACTTGTTCAAGACTGTGCATAGCTGTCCTGACAACAGCCTAAATGTGGAAACAAGTCTGAATCAATAGGGAAAATGGATAAACCAACTGTGGAATATGTATACAATGGACTACTACTCAATAATAAAAAGGAACAAACTACTGATACAATATGGATGAACTTCAAAGACGTGCTGAGCAAGAAAAGCTAGACTCAACAGAGTATGTACTGTATAAATCCACCCATATGAAATTTTTCAATAGGCATATCTAATCTAAGGTTAAAAAGGAAAGAATATTAGTTGTCAGTAAGGAAAAGGGGGCAATTGACCGGACAGGGATGCAACGCAACTTTCTGGGGCAAGACAGGGGTATGGTTAACATACGTGTATACTTTCTGTCCAAATTTTACAGCTTAGATTTGTGCATTTCAATTTATCTAAATTTTAAAGAAAAAGAACCTTATAAAATAAGTGGTGGGTGGGGAGTGGAACGAGTTACAGCTAATAAAGGTAATTTTAGGGGCACCTGGGTGGCACAGTTGGTTGAGTGTCTGACTCTTGGTTTCAGCTCAGGTGGTGATCTAGGGGTCTTGAGATCAAGCCCGGCATTGGGCTCTGCACTCAGCATGGGCTCTGCTTAGGACTCACCCTCTCCCTCTGCCCCCTTCCCCTGCAGTGCTCTGTCTCTCTGTCTCTGTCTCAAAAATAAATCTTCTTAAAAAAATAAAGGTAATTTTGGAGCTGGTGATAGATATGTGGGAGTTTATTATATTATTCTGTTTATTTTGTATTTGTTCAAAATTTCCATAATAAAAAAGCTAAAAACAAAAAACCCAAAGACACACAAACCACAAACTCAATGTTCTAAATTATTTGGTTCATCAGGAATACAATTACTCTGTCAAATAGCCATAAAAGTTTCTAACCACTGACTCTCAGTTTCTAAATGTAATCTGTCCCAGTCCAGTTATGAACTATCTATGCCTGGCACCAGGTATCAGCCCACACTCTCAATAGCACTGTCCTCTCTGCCTCATTCTTTTCTTCACTGAATGATAGTGAATAGTAGTCATAGTAGTAGTACCAGGATTTACTTCTTCGAGGTTTTATGAGGATTAAATAATAAAATATATGTTGAGTTCTTTGACCAGTGGCTGGCACAGAAGTTCCATAGGCACTAGCTATTCTTCTCATTAATAAAACCTGCTACAGTTTTTTTTTTTTTAATTCCTAGGATCTACTTAGTTGTCAGGAATTTTACGCCTTTTTTCTGAATTATCTATGTCCCTTAAACTTTGAGCTTATTACTCAAATAAATCTTTCTGCTTAAATTTTTAAGTCAAAAATATAAAAAAGAAGAGTCACATACTTTTACTGATGAGGAAACTGAGGTTCAAAGATTATATGCAGCAGACATTTCTCAGGGTGGTTGCCCTGGTCCAACCATTCCTCGAAACAAAGTCAGTACTACCAGACTTTGGCAGATTCCCAATCATAGCTGAGTCAATCCGATTCCTTCTCCTAGTACCTTTGGTATGCCCTTGGCAGCACTCTGAGTGGGTCGTCCAACCCTGCCTTTCCAGAAGCTAGGGAGTTAGGCTCTTCCGGTGATTCCATGCAAGGGCTCCTCCAGCATCCTTCTGATAAACTCAATCTTTTATCTCTAAGCTGGCTGGAGTTAGTTTCCATTCCTTAGATGACCAAAAGGGGTAACAACCAAGTTCCAGAACACACATCTCTTCATGTTAGACACTCTCAACCAGCATCTATTGGAAGCCTACTGTTTGCAAGGCACTGTACCAGATCTGTGCTGTGAGGACTAGCAGGTTGTGACAGGAGAAGGAAGGGTGGGACTTTACAAAGAGAGCGCTCCAGAAAATACTCTGGGTAGGTATAAGGAACTGAAAGCAAAATAGTTTTGCTGCAGAATAAGGCACATAAAGGCACAGAGTTAATCCTCAGTAAATATTTGTTGAATTGATATTAAATTAGATATAAGACCAGACAGGTTTGGGACAAATCATATATGGCTTTGAATGCCAAAATAAGAGATTCAGAATCTACTCCCCTCAAATGGGGGCTACTGAAGGTTTCTGAGAAGAGCCCTATAATACAATTTGTGCTTTCAAAAAGCACTAACATCTCAGCCAGTCCTAATGAATGCTCAGCTTATTAAGGAGCTGAAGTTTCTGTGTTTTAAGTATAGTATTTATGTTTCCTACAGGGACATTTACCAGCACACTGTACAGAAAGCAGAAGGTTTTATTTAAATGTCACAATACTTCTGTATGACTCTTCTCACAGAACAACTGAAGAATCTATGAATATTAGATAATTTCATCTTTTGGTCTGGATCCAATCAAATGAAGTTGCCAACAAAATTAATTTAGGGTCAACAATGTTCCTCCCCTAATTGTGACCCGAGGCAGATGTGCTATTAGAACCATGTTATAACCAAGAAACTGTTAAGTACCTACTTTATCTAATGGAAGACAACCCAAGTTCCATTGAATATGCCTTATAAAACACTCTACAGCACAATAGGAAGGTTTCTGGCATATGCAATCCTATTACCATGAAGTGCAATTTTAAACACAGCTCCTAACATCACTGTTACCTCAACTCAGAAAAGTTATACTTTATTTTCCAACCACACAAATGACAAAGTATGTACTTCTATAAACACTATTCCATTAAATCTTAGGGACCTAGAATCTAAACCCAAAAACTGATCTTATTCTACTCCTGTTTACATGGCCACTCGAAGTAATAAAACAAACAAAAAGTGTTGTTAAAAAGTCAAGTGAAGGGCGCCTGGGTGGCTCAGTTGGTTAAGCGACTGCCTTCGGCTCAGGTCATGATCCTGGAGTCCCTGGATCGAGTCCCGCATCGGGCTCCCTGCTCGGCAGGGAGTCTGCTTCTCCCTCTGACCCTCCCCCCTCTCATGTGCTTGCTCTCTCTCATTCTCTCTCTCTCAAATAAATAAATAAAATCTTTAAAAAAAAAAAAAGTCAAGTGAAAAGCAAAATAATGTTATCCAAACAAATGTCTTTAAACAAAGTAAGTTTTCCTTTCAAATAAAGAGAACCAAGTATTTTAGCAATAGAAGTGCACATAATTAACATCAATTCATAGTGACTGGCATGCCATGGAATAGGAGAAAACACACATATTACCCATTCAAAGGTCAAAAATATTTTTTCATACCCTTGCCTGTACTGTAAGTATAGAACTGCAAAACACTAACAGACTTTCTGAAAGTTTTTTAAAAGAATCCAGTAACTCGTTCAGAACTTCATAAACAGTTTCTGAGATACCACAAGCACCTGTTTCCACTGTGTTCCAACCGTGGCTTATAAGTGGAAACATGTACAAGCAAAAGCAGCAGTGCCCTGGGTGCGATGACAAGGCGAAGCCCCCTCAGACATATGCCCAAGACTGGGATTAGGGACCCAGGGAAGAGGATGCTGCCACCGTCCTCCCGCGCGCGCCCCACTGTGCCCCGCGGCGCCGGGAACTTACAGCTCTGGTTTCATACAGAACCAGCTTCTGGACCGAGCTGATGATGGGGGCGGCGGCCGCGGGCATGGTAGGAGGAAGTTGGGGCTCCCACGACAGGGCACCAGGCCGCGGCCCAGGGTGCGGCAGCCTCCACACAGCCCCAGGAGGCCCGGAGATAAGACACCTCAGACCCCCGACACTAGATCCAGCCAGAAAACACCACTTGGACAATAAACATACAGAAGACCGGGTACAGCTCAGGTGCTTCCGGATCCCTGCTCCCCACCTCCAGGCAAGCCCCGCCCCGGGCACGTCGGGGGCGGGACTGGAGGATATACCGTAGAGAGGTCGTGTAGAGGCTCCAAGAACCTGCGTGCTGCCTGGGGAGGAAGTGAAGGGCGCCATTTTTGGTGAGGGCAAGAGAAAAACTGGGCGGAGAAAAAGTCGCGTGGTTAGTTTAGGCTCTCGCTTTGTCTGATCTCGCTTTTTAGAAAAGGGGGACGATTTGCGACTGGATTGCTTCTTTTGAAGCGGTTCTCCGACTTGTAGATAGATCCAATAGAAGTTGGTCTTTTTTTCTCTGCCTATTTCTGCCCTTATTTTCCTAGAAACATATCTGATAGCCCTTCCCTGAGTGTCGGTGTTTTCCCCCATGCATCTCTTTGTTATCCATTTTAACCCTTGTAAGAGTCAACAAAATGCATATTGTTCTGAGGCTGTGGGGTTCAAGGAATTTTTAAAAATCACCTTTTTAAAAAAAATCACCTGAAGTTGGACATTTTGGACTTTGCCACGTATTTGTGGCGGAGACCGGCCATTTGTAAATTCTACAAATGGACTGCCAAGTGTAGTGCCCTGTGGTGCGGCACTGGCTTTGGAGACGGGCAATTGTGGGTTAAAATAAGGTTTCTTCCATTTGATGTATGTGAACAGGAGTGGGTAGTGTACATACCGTCTCTAATCGTCACCTTCTATATCTGTGAAAAGGAATGTGTTATAAATACAAAGTTAAGTGCAAAAGTGAATACGTAAAATTTTTAAAAATGCATGAATTACAGCCCCGCCTCACGAGGCCGGGTCCCCCAAGAGGCCCTGCGCGAAGCCCCGCCAGGGATTCCCTAGGCAACCGGTCCACAGACCGAGAGGCACGGGAGGCGGTTGCTGCGGCCGGCGAGTGGGGTCCTGTGGGCTCCTGACGACTCTGCTGCGGCGGGGTAAGTAGGGGTCGTAGTCCCCCGCCCTGACGCCTTTTGTATCAACTGAATGGAGCCTCACCTCCTGCGGGGACCCCAGACCAGTTCCTTTTCTTACAAAACTGAACTTCGGGATCTCTCGGTAAAGGACTTTTAAAGCCACTGTCCCTTCCAACGACTAATGTCTTCATTCCGCAAATATTTACTGAGCACCTACTAGGAGAGTATAAGGCGTCGCCACAGCAGAAGGTACTAGGTTTCCCAGGAGAGGGGCCGCCTGTAAACCACAGAACCCACTGCTGGAGGTTTCCCAACAGCTGAAAATGTGAGGGAACTTTAAAAAATTCTATTGAATTATAGTATAAACGCATAACGTAATGTGATGTTCGAGGTTATGTTACACAACAAGGAGATGTTAGAGATCATATTGTAAATTTAAAATTGAGAGATTACCAAATTTTTAAAAAATAAATGTTTAATTATTTAGTATTTTAATTTTTCTTTCATAGTTTAGTCCTACCTTTATTAAGAACTAGAAAGCTCGTCACGTCAGTTCTGGCATTTCACGTGGACCTGGATCTTTCAACTGGGAAGAATATTGAGTTCTGTTTTGTTTCATAATGGAAACCAATTCTTCTGAATATAAGCATTAAATACTTGCACTATGTTTTTATTTAGGATAACAACTCTTATAATATCTGTGGACTTCTGGTTTCCAATATTTAGCTTTCAATTATTATATCATACTGTAATAAAGCACTTCCATTTGAACTCTGTCTTTGTTGGTTTCCCCCAAAAGCAGATCCTGAGACAAAAATTCGAGGGCAAGTGCTTTATATGGGAAGTAGTCCCAGGAAACAACATCAGTGAGCAGAAGGAAGCTGATCAAGGGAATATTATAAGCAAATTTCTCTGTGGGCTGAATTCACTGGATAATCCTGAGATGTATGTCTCAGAGTAATTCTCTCTTAAGGGCAAAAGAGCTGGGGCATTTATTCACCAACTCCCATCAGTTATTGTCTGAGGCCTGCTATGGCAGAACATTAATTTCCTGGAACTTCCAGTCTGCCCTGTGCTCAGGCCAACTAGGTATGGCAGCTGGAAAGAGCCCTTAGGCAAAGAGTCACACATGCTAGCCTTTGGAAGTCAGGCTGGCCATGCATGGAAAAGGTACATGTCAAGTGGTTACGGGTACTAATAGCATCTGCTACATTCCAACCTTTGCACTACTCATATCTACCCTGCCCCCACATTAAGTTCACACCATCCCCTCACCGATTCTTCACGGTGGTCGCTGGTCCCAGTTTCTAAAAGAAAAGGACTTACTAAAAGATGATTAGTGGGACAAGCTACAGAATCCACTACTGCAATTAATCCTAGGTCTGTAACTGATAATTCATCACTTCCGTCCTCTACCACCCATTCTAGATTTCTCTTACCGTTGGCCAGCACTTCTGCTGGTCTCGGTTGTTTTCCCGGTAGGGTAACCAGCCTTCATCCCTGAGGGGTGTAAGCCTCTTGTTACCGTGTCTTTGTCAGGTTGTGCTTGCTAGAATTACAAGAGGTGTCTTAGAGAAATCCCTGAGTTCAGACATACATCTCCCTCCTCCAGGTATGTAGCAGCAACCCTATCCTCAGCTGCCAGTGCAGTAACTCCTTATGGGCATGTGGAGCCACAGATGACCAGGCAGCAGTTTTAGGTTTAGTGAAACCTAACTAAGGGGATCCTCTGATAGAAGCATCTCTCTCCCATCAATTAAAGCCAGGACCTCCAGTCCAGCAGAGCCTGAAGTCATGAGGAAAGGTGATACAAATTCCTCATGTCAATCACTGAGAGTGATGGTAGGAGGGACCATTCCTAACCCTTGCTTCAAAGCATATTTCTCATCTTGAAGTAGTATCTCAATCCCACGTGATCCCAAACAGAGCTTTAATTGTACCTTTAAGAGGCCATTCCAACATTCTGTCAGACCAGCAACTTCTGGATGAAGTGGTATGTAGTAGAATCAGTGGAACCTTCTTATCATATCTCCTTTACTATAAAGAAGGTCCTTTGATCCAAGGCAATATTATATGGATCTCATTGTGATAGATGAGACACACTCCAAACCCTCAGATAGTGGTGCTGGCCAAGGCATTGTGGGTAGGGAAGGCACACCCATACTAGGGACACATGTCACCTGCTGCCCTACCCAAGGTGAAGGGGTCCCATGTAATCAGTTTGTCACTGAATGGATATACCATATTAGAGGGCTTAGCCTCAGTCTCTGCTGCAGACAGGTGAGGTGTTCAGTGGTAGAAGTGGCTAAATCAGCCTGATGAGCCCATGCATGACCTCCATTGCCTCCATCCCCACTATCATGCCTCCTCCATTCATGAGCCCATTTTGGAAGCACTGAGGTGACAAGGATAAACAATGGCTGGCATTTACTGGATAATCATCCTGCTTTGTGAGACACAAAAATCCACATATTTTGTGTCCACTTATATTTATTTTCTATGTGACATAACAAAATTACCACAAATTTAGCAGGTTAAAACATGCATATATTATCTCAAGTTTCCATGTTCAGGAGTCCTGGCATAGCTGAGCTGGGTCCTCCACTCAGGGTCTCACAGTGCTGCAGTCAAGGTGTTGGCTGAGCTGCATTTTCATCTGGAAGCTTGACTAGGGAAGAACTGGCTTCCAAGCTCATTTAGATTGTTGGCAAAATTCATCTTTTGTGGTTGTAGGACTGAGGTCCCACTTTTCTTCCTGGCTGTTATCCAGGGGCTGCTCTCAGTGACTGGACGCCACCCACTGTTCCTTGCCATGCAGTCATTTGACAACATGGCAGCTTAATTCAAAGCCAACCAGGAAGTCTCTCCAGTATACTAAATGGGATCTTATGTAATATAATGTAATCATGAGAATAATATTTCTAACATTTTCACTAGATTTAGAAGCAAGTCACAGATTCCATCTGCACGTAAGAGAAGGGAATAATAACACAGGGTGTGACTTGTTAGGGGTTACCATAGAGTGTGTTTGTACACCCCTCTCATAGTTTCATTCACATACGTCTTCCCCAGAACTTTTTCTCTTGTCTTTCAATCTTGCTCCTCTCAGGCCCTTGACCACACCACTCAGTATTGTCCTCCAAATGCAGGACCTAGGAATACTGCTTATGTCTCTGCCCACAGGGGTGCCTGGGTGGCTCAGTTGGTTAAGTGTCTGCCTTCAGCTCAGGTCATGATCTCAGGGTCTTGGGATGGAGCCCTACATTGGGCTCCCTGCTCAGTGGGGAGTCTGCTGCTCCCTCTCCCTCCCTCCACTTGTGCTCTCTCTCTTTCTCATTCCTTCTCTCAAATAAATAAATAAAATCTTAAAAAAAAAAAATCTTTGCCCACAAGGAGGATTTTCCCTAATCATCATCATTCACGGCTACCCCCGAGTGGGATTAAAGTTTGGAAGCATTCCATTTACAGCTTGCACCAATATATCATGATGCATCTATGATTTTTTAAAATTTTCTATCAGCTGTTCTTAGGGAATTCCATATGAGGTGTGAGCTGAAAGAGAGACATTGGTGAGCAAGAGATAGGCGACATGTGTTCTGGGCTGCTTATTTATGAAACTTATTTGTACTCTCCAGGCCTGCTTGGAACTGAACACTTGGAAGTGTTCCATTTTTATCATTTGGTGGATTGCTGCTATGCCTGCTCAACTTGAGGACTTGATCTGACATACTCAGCTCATGATGGGCACTTCCAGTTCCATAGTCACCTGATGTCTCATGGCCAGGCATTCATTCTCTCCCAGAGCCCAGAGCATTACCAAGAGTGGCTTCTTGAACGGGGAATGGTTCTCTGCTACAGACAGCAGTGATCTACATAAGAGGTTTCTGTCGTGGCTTTGCTAAGACTCCAGAAGTATTCTTACGTACTCTAAGTACCTCCCTATTGCATCATGGGATCTGGCCAGGTATAAGGCCCAAGAAGCAGGCCTCTGGTATCATACACTAAAACTGCTGCAGAGCTCTCTTGCTCTGAGCTTCACTCAAAACTGATAGCTTTCCAAGTCACCTATTAAATGGATCAGAAAGTATCCCCAAGTGTGCTACGTGCTATCTCCCAAAACTAGAGACTTATAAAATACTGCCCCTCTTCTTTCAGAGGTAGAATGCGTGAGGTACAATAACTTGTCCTTTACCTTGGAGAGAATATCTCGGAATGACCCAGACCACTGGCCTTTTAAAACCTCACCAAAGTAACAGGCCTTTAAATCTTTGTAAATATATCTTCCACTTTCTGCTGCTCGTGTGTCTTATGAAGGCATCCAGAACACTTGCCACTTCCTGCTCACCCAGTATTGTAGATCAACAAGACCCCTTGGTACTATATTTGCTACAGACACGGGAGAGTCCTTGTGTAAAACTGAATGTCCCTTGCTGACTGTTCAAGTGAATGCAAACTGCTTCTAATCTTCTATTCTGACAGGGATTTAAAAAAACACAACACATTTGCCAGATGAATAACTACATACCAAGTACAAGAAGCTGTGTCCAGCTAGTAAAGATCTCATCTGCACAGCAGTTACAAATGGGGCTATCCCTTGGTTAAGTTTTCAGTAGTTCACCATCATTTGTCATGATCTATCTTGTTTTTTCAAAAAGCCACACTGGAGAATTAAGCAGGGCTATGCATCTTTTAAATAGTTTTGGGTAGTACCTTTCCATTTCATTCATTCAGAATGATTTACTCTTATTTATCTGGCCTAGGGGCCAAGGAGCAGGTAAGCAATTTCATGACCTTCCACTTGGCTTTTCTACCACATTGGCTCTTACTCCACAGGCAGGGAACCACTGTGAAGGTTTTACCAGCTGCAATCCCCATTACGAACTCAGGGACCAGGAAAATAACCATGAAGTGATTCTGCAGACCCTGTACTATAGGATAGACTTGAGCCAAGACTCCCATTTATTACTGGTTCTCCATTTGCTTTCACTCCTACAGGGGGCCGTGATGGCATTTTGAATCCACTGGTGTTGGTGTCAGCTCAGACCCTGTGTCCTATTGACTTGGAAAGAGGAGGATAGTCCCATTTCCTCAGTGTGTATTTTCCCAGTTAATGGTTGTAGGTTCTCTTGGAGAAGGATTGGGGAATCCCTATTGTGAATACTTGTTAGGTGTTGTAGGGTCTATTCTCGAGGGCTCCTTGCCTCCCCTTCAATAAATGGGCTTTGGAGCTAAGAGCTGGGCAAGGAATCATGATTTTCCACTGTGGCTGCTGACATCAGCCTTTGATTCACTTGCCCTTTGTCATTTTTAGAAATGTAAGTTCATCAGCATTTTTGCTGACTGCTCATCTGTTTCACCCCTAGAAATTCTGTGGCTTATCAGCCGTCACCACAGATCTCTGTGGGTCTTGCTTGTTGCCATTCTGGACTTGCTGCCCATTCTAGTAATTACACCTACTTTGCTTCTGATAGTTAAGTGCTGCCATCTGGCCTCTGCTCTCCCAGACCTTCTCATCTCCACTGAAACATGGGACCGCAGTATCATAGCAGCCTTTCTCCTACCTCCAATCCTGGCCTACAAAGGATAGCCACCACTGAGCTTATTAATGATACTAGTGCCTCCTTACTAGTTCATTCCTTGTAGCCTTAAAGAAGGGAGTATCCTCTGGCCATCCCAAATGCATTCCCTTGCCTCATTTAACATGTCCTCATTTAACAAATCCATCTAACATGTCCCCTCTGTGAGCCTTTCACACCCTACTCCATATTCTGCTATTCTAGAGGCATAGGTTAAATAAAGACAAGAGGCTACTTTCTGCACAAGTGCAATAAGCACAACAAACTTAACTCTTCCTCTGCTGAGATGTTGTAACTGCAAACGGACTGCTAGATAGGTGGAGTGGATGGTCCCTGGGCAGTCCTCAGTTGGGGCTCTCTGTCAGGATGTCCAAGGTCCATCCTCCCATCACTCATGCCTAGTTTCCTAACACAGATAATCATGGGGTTCAAAGTACTTAGACATCCACCTAAATGTTCCATCCCAGGCCTTAGGGCCCTGGTTTTAGTGTACTTAATATTCTTTAATAAATGTACCATCTCTCTAAAAGGTTTAGATGCATTGTCTCCTTTATAACTACATTTTATAGTAGCATTACTTATTTTTTTGTACTAAAAATAACTTGAAATTTTAGTTCTTTTGTCATGAAGTTTTCATCTCAATCTTTTTAATATACTAGTAGTAATTCTTATAATGTCTTGTTTCATAATGACATCTTAAAGTAATATTGGTATATTGAGCCCATTTGATTATTCTTAAATTCCACAGAGAAATATAATCATATCCCATTTACCGGGAAGCATATAGCCCCCGTAATCCATTTTCATTGTTCCATGAACAGTGTCCCAGACCACTGGGACATAGTTTTGTTCCATTTTTGAAGTCTGCTTATTAAAGTCATTTCATAAGATTTTGTAATTTTTCCATAAAGGGTTTATATATCTTTTATAATATTTAATCCTGGTTGCTTTATTATTTTGCTGCAAAGAGAAGTCTTTTTATCTTTAGTTACATTTTTTAGCAATTCATGCTGTATAGAAATGCAACTGAATTTTGTATAATTTTGAATCCAGCAAATTGGATTATCAGATTAATTCTCAAAATTTATCTGTGATATATTAGTTTCCTATGTAGACAATCATATCAACTGGGAATAATTACAGTTTTCTTTCTTTTGTCTTGTCACGACCTGAAAAGAACATTTTTAATATTTAATCATTAAATGTAATGTTTGTCTTTTGTTAACACCTTTTATCAGGTTAAAGAAATTCCCTTCTATTCCTAGTTGCTAAGAGATTTATCCTTTATTAATCATTAAAGGGTGTTGATTGTCTCATACTTTTTCTACATCTATTAAGACAATCATACAGTTTTTCTCTTTTATTTTAATATGATAAATTAATTTCTCATTCCCTCTCTTGCTGTGTCTCTCTCTGTCAAATAAATAAATAAATAATCTTTAAAAATGAAAAAAAAATTATTTTCTCATATTAAGCCAGCCTTGAATTCCTGGGGAAAGCCCAACTTGGTCATGATGTTATCTTGTTATATATTGCTGGATTCAATTAGCTAATATTAGGATTTTGTAAATCTTGTTCATGAATGAAATTGGTACATCATTTTGCTTTTTCACGCTATTCTCTAATTTAGGTAAAGGTTATATAAGACCGATAATCTGATGTAAGAAGTCTCCACTTTATCTCTTCTCTGAAAGAGTGTAAGATTCTAAGACTTGGAGCTCTTCAAAAAACCATCTGGTTTCTTTTGTGGGAAGATTTTTAGTTACTCAGTTTCCTTATAGTTATAGAACCACTCAGGTTTTCTCTTTTTTTTCCTGAGAAGCTGATTTTTCTAGGAATTTATCAATTTTGTTTAAATTTTCAAATTTATTTGGGATAACTTTATGATATCCTCGCCTTATCTATATTATATCTGTAGTTTTGTTACTCTGTAGTCCTTCCTCCTTTCTGTGTCTAATATTGTTTGATCAAGTAGACAATAAATCAGTAGGCATTATGGAAGATTTAACCGATAAAATTCACAGACTTGATGTAAACCTCATTTAAAGAACACTACATCAAAAAAACATAAATCACATATCCTTTTCAAGGAATCAGGGATCTTTTAAAAAACTACAATGTACTAGGCCATAAAGCAAACCTCAACAAATTTCAAAAAATTAGTCTACCATGGAGAACATTCTCTGATTAATGACAGAAATAAAAAACAAAATCTTAATTTTAAGATATAAGAAACCACACTTCTAAAATTGTTTAATTGTGCCTTCTATCTTCTTGATCAATCTTGACAGTTTTCTATTTATACTTTTTTTTCAAATACCACTATTCAGCTTTGGTGACCCTCTCTATATATGTTTGTTTTCTATTTTATTAACTTTTAAAATATATTTTTCTATTTTTCCTGTTTTTTTTCCCCCAACATCTTAAAAGTGCTGAGCTTATCTCATGTACTTTTCAGAGTTTCTTTGGTTCTAATGTAAATATTTAAGGTTTCTAAATATTACTTTAGCTACATCTTCTAAGTTTTGATATGTATGTTCATTTTTTTTCAGTTTTACATATTTTCTAATTTCCATTCAGATTTCTGTTAGAGCCATTAGTAGTCAGTCCCTACACATGTGCACATACACACATTTATATGTGTCTCTATAACATATGTGTATGTATATATATAGCATATTTAATTTGATCTTTAATCGAATACACACATCATAACATATATGTTTATGTATGTATATATGTACTTTTATCTTAATTAATCTTGCAGAAACACTTCGTTTTAGCTGTCTTTTGTACAACATATAGCTCATTTTGCTTTTTGTCTCAAACTAAGAGCCTATTATTGTTTTAATAGATAAGTTTAACTTACTTGTGAATATCGGCAAAATCTTTGTATTTAGTGATGTGGAATGGCTTCTAGGCTAAGTAAATTCTCAGGATATTCTCATATTCCTTCACCTGCCGGCTTCTTCCAGCTACATTAGTCACTAACAATTTTACTCTTTCTTATTGTAGTAGTTTATATTATGAATTCTCAAGAGAAGACAGAAGAGCATCCTTTTGCGGATATATTTAATGAAGATGAAGCTGAATATAACTTTTTGCTGTCTAAACCTGTTTGCTTTGTTATATTTGGGAAACCAGTAAGTTATCTTTTCTAACTTATTATTTACTATAATTTTTATTTTTAAAGTCATAATATTATGTTACCATACAAGAAAGAAAACCACATAATGTGCTAATTTTTTCGAGTGTTAGGCTTTCATTGTATGACTTAAAAACTGATATAATATTGGTTGTAAGTTCCTAACTTTATCTTGTCTTGTACACTATAATTGAAAAGGAACCTACATTGTACTTATCTTTGTTTTTATATTATGAAGAAATAGAACTCATCAAAGCATTGCACCATGACAATTGTTAGTAGTCTATGATCCAAGGTTATTCCAAACATAATTTGCTTATAAAACTTTCTGTGAAATTTGTTATGAGGTTCCCTGGGTATGTGAAGAAAGGACACTATAGAGACAAACTGGGGCTCTCCCATTAATATCTGAAGCTACTGAGAGGCAATGTGCCTCACCTTTGCCCACAGTGTGTTCGCAGACCTATGTATTGTCTTTCTACAAAATAAAAAGAAACCAAAAATGGATGATATAAGATAGCCTGCTTTTCTAGGCATTTCTAGTAAGGACCTCTAAACGAGAGGTATTTTCAGCCATTGAACTAGTTGGTAGTTAGCATTAGAGCCTGAGCTGGTGAATTAAAGATCCTCTCCAGAACAGCAGAGACTAAGAGCTGGATCCCACCCTCGATTTAATTTTATATAGACCCTGGGACAGGTACCAAGAAATGGTTCCAGTAACTTTCATTATGTTTCTTAACATATAATAGAGTTTTAAAAGTCAACAGTGAACATGGATGGAACTAGAGGGTATTATGCTAAGCAAAATAAGTCAGTCAGAGAAAGACAATTATATGATCTCACTGATATGTGGAATTTAAGAAACAAAACAGAGGATCATAGGGGAAGAGTGGAAAAAATAAAACAAGACGAAACCAGAGAGGGAGACAAACCATTAGAGACTCTTAATCATAGGAAACAAACTTAGGGTTGCTGGAGGGGAGGGGGGTGGACGGATGGGGTAACTGAGTGATGGACATTAAGGAGGGCATGTGATATAATGAGCACTGCGTATTATATAAGACTGATGAATCACAGACCTGTACCCCTGAAACAAAAAATACATTATATGTTAATTAATTGAATTTGAATTAAAAAGTGTTCAAAATAAAAGTCAACAGTGAGAGCAATCAGGTGCAAATATTACTACATTAAAGTAATCTTTTGTCTTGAAAATATGATACTTTTCAAAGATGTCCATTAAGTAAGAATTTTTTGTTCTTGGAAGTTACTAAGTGGAAGTCTGTCAAAACATTCATGACTAAAAACTTTAGAAAAGAGATAAAGTGATGGATTTCAATATAATCACAATGATACGTATTCAAGTTACAAAATTTGACAATCAAAAGAGGACAGTACCTGCCTGGTTTCAGGGCTATTTTCTTAATTTAAAAAATGTTATTTAAATCACTTCAAAAATGTGGCAAATGTGACAATGAGTAGAGAAAAATTAAGCTATAAATATCTAGAGTCTGCTGTTCATTTATTTTGTGGACAAAAAATTTACTTGATAATATTCATGTATTGTAACCATCAATAGAGTCTCTTAAAATGAGAATATCTGTTTCACTGGCAAATGCCTGTGGGTTTTAAATAACATCTTTCTTTTTAAGGGGGTTGGGAAGACAACTTTAGCTCATCAAATAACACAGGCATGGAAATGTATTCGTGTAGAAGGTAAATTTTACTCTTTCCTCCCAATATTTTATTATAAAAACTTTATAAAATGTAAAGAATATATCATCTAGATTCTGTGATTAACATTTCGCTATAATTACTTTATCACACATCACTACCAACCTAGTGAATGTTATCTTCAAAATAGCATCAGGCATATTTTTGCCTTTCAGTTAGTCCTAGTTTTGTTCATAGAAGTTAGGAGGGTTTATGAAATGTCTTTGACTTCATTCTATTGCCTCCAATTCTCTAATACCCTCATTTAGAACTACTGGGGACATGTGTGTTTTGGGAATCTCCCTATGAAAGATGAAAAGAGAAGAAACTCTCACAGCTGTTCTTGAGAGCATTTTTTAAGACTTAATTATTTTTTTTTTAAGATTTTATTTATTTGAGAGAGAGAGCTCAAGGCGGGAGCAGGGAAGGGCAGAGGGAGAGGGAGAACCAGGTTCCCCACTGAGCAGGGAGCTGGATGCGGGGCTCAATCCCGGGGTCCTGGGATCATGACCTGAGCCGAAGGCAGATGCTTAACCTACTGAGCCACCCAGGTGCCCCAAGACTTGATTATTTTCAATGATAAATTTTATTTTTTATTATTTTGCTTTGCATTCTTTGCAGTATATGAGGACTACTAACTTTATATAAAGTATTCTTTTAATCAATAAAACTATTTTTGTCCTAATAGAAAAATAAGCAAAAGAATGAGTTGGCAATTCATAAAAGTAGAAATAAAAAAATAGACAAATGTAAGAAAAAAGTCGTTATTCAAAGAAATTGTTATTCGAAGAAATGCTAATTAAAATAACACTGATCCATATTTACCTATCAAATTGACAAAGAATCTTTAAAGTTTCTATAATCATTTTTGGCAAGAATGTTATGACATGAGGATTCCATGTGCTGTTAGTGAAATTGCAATCTGGTACAATTTTGGGGAGACCAATCATAGATTACTAGCAGCGAGGGACATAATTCAGTTCCTGAGTCCTCCCGTAGGTCTTGCCCCTGTCATTTCTGTCCCAGGATGTCTTCCATAAGGGATGGAATATTCCCTCTTAAACAGAAACAAATCATTGGAATTCCAGCCTCAGGCCCCCTTTTTCTAATCAGTGTTTATTTTTACATTTCTTGACACATACTTTCCTTTTATATAATCAGAGTGCAAAATTAGTGAGCTCTGGATATAACTCTGTGGTTATAAAAGTATCTGGACTAATAATACTTAGTGTATACTTTTGAGTGACACTTTACAATTTCCCAGTCACTGTCGCGTACACAATGTCATTTCATCCTCACATTCTCTTGCATACTATACAGGGCATGAGCATGCAAGGCCCAGAGGTATTTAAGTAGTTAGCTTCCTCAAGATCTTTTAGCTAGCGAGTGGCAGAGACAAGTTCTCTGTGGAATACATTCTGCTGCCTCATGCTTTGGTTAGGCTTAAACGACATAATGTGTGTATAAATATGTTTTGTAAACTCTTAAAGTGATATGCAAATATTAATCTTTGTTACCATTATAAAACAAATATGGTTCTTAATTTGGCAATTCTAATAGCAGTTTGTGCTAATATTTTGAATTCATATTCTAGTTTTACCAATTTTGGAAGAACAGATTGCCAGGGAAACTGAAACAGGAGTTATGGTAAATCTAAGTTTCAAAATTATTCTGATTTAAAAAAAAATAAGCTCTGTGTCACAGATATATATACACTAATATACACTATCTTTTTTGGTTCTTAGTTGCAATCAATACTGCTCAGTGGTCAAAGCATTCCAGATGAACTTGTCATAAAGCTAATGTTGGAGAAGCTCAACTCCCTGGAAGTTTCTCACTTTGGTATGTTTATTTTTATAAATCGGTGGCTATCAAAGCAGCCTTAAAACTTGTGCTTTAGCTGAGGCACACGTAATTTTCGGAGTTGCTCTTTCCTTTGCCCTGATGCGGGAATTCCAGAGCCTGAATTCAGTTAAGCAGCTTAGATATTTTTATTTGCTTGTTTACTTCCTTTTATTCTTCAGATTCTACATTTGTAAATAAATAAATAAATTTAAATGGTTCAATCTTCTTTGAGCACTGTATTATCCAGCAAAAGCATCAACACTCTGCTGTGGTCCTTCTCACAGTGCTGACAATCTCTGCTGACTGCTTTCTCATTCACTCTGGGTTTTATTACTGAGTCCTGTCCGTGGCTAGTCTTCTCTGCATCAATCCACACTTATAAGGCAGGAATTTCTTGAATGGCACCAGCTTACCCTCTGGCTGCAGATATTGGCAGGCTTCAGTCTGTTCACCCAGTCTACCCTCTCACTCTGGACCCAAGAAATCTCCCTGCACTCAAGCAGACGCTGAGCAGGGGTTTGGGGCCTAATTTCTCAAGACAAAGGCTACTGAAGCTCCAGAATGACCAAATAGAAAAGAGCAAACCCTATGACATTTGCAAAAGAAAGAAGAGGAAGAAAGATGTGCTGGGGAGAAAATCATCCACCTGAAATAGATTTATTGAATGAAAGAAGAAAAACTTAGCAAGCTGCTTTGTATCCTTAGTAAGTTAAGAGAGGACATTGTGACTATTAAGAATATAGGGATAAAAATAAAATGCAGTAAAGTAAAAACCATGATTGCCAAAGCAAATCAATAATGGAAGTAGCAAAAGCAGACATCACTGCAAACTATGTCTGTATCGTATCTATAGGTAGAAAGATTTCTCTACATATAGATGATATATAGAACAAACTACATCTGTCCATCCACATATAGATAAATATCATCTCTCCATTATATATGTTGTGTGTGTGTATATATATATATGTGTATATATATATATATATATATATATATATATATGCACTTTGTCTACACATCAGTCTATCTATTGATCAGTGATAAAGAAGATGAGCTTGGGAAAATATCCAGAATGTGGGAAGTTAAATGAGTAAAAAGGTAAAAAAGACGATGACAGAATTCCAACATAGGTCAATAAATGACCTCCAAAAGCGAAGTGATTGAAACTGAAGCATGGGGTGGCTCAGTCATTAAGCGTCTGCCTTCACATCTGGCTCCCTGCTCAGCGGGAAGCCTGCTTCTCCCTCTCCCACTCCCCCTGCTTGTGTTCCCTCTCTCATTGTGTCTCTCTCTGTCAAATAAATAAAATCTTTAAAAAAAAGAAGAAAGAAACTGAAGCATATATACAGAAAGGCAGGCAAATATCTTCTTGTTTATACTTCGTCTCCCCTTCCTCTTGTAAAAATTAGAGTAATTTACCCACAAAAAGATGGTATAAATGATGAATATTGGCAAAAAGAGAAAAAATAATGAAAAAATAAACCCACTCAGCTATGCCATTCATGATGTTCAGGAATCTTTTTAACTTCTTCTTGTGGAAGATTTCAAACAAAAGTAAAGAAAGTGATATAAAACTCCCCCCATGTGTCCCTCACCCAGCTTCAATGACAGCTCCTGACTAATGTTTTATGTGAACTCCTGCCCACATCCCTTCCCCAACCTACTTTATTTTGAAGCTAATTCATTTCATATCAGTTCATCTGTAAATGTTTTAGTATATATCTCAAAAAGATAAGGACTATTTTTAAACCTAGTATCACATTACATTATCATACCTACTAAATTAATAGTAAATCATCTACTGACCATTCCATGGTCAGATTTCATTATTTGCCTTGTTTATTTTTTTTTTCTAGCTGATCTTTGGGTTTTGTTTTTTTTTTGTTTTGTTTTGTTTTTTGGGGGGGTTGTTTTGTTTGTATGTGTGTTGTTGTTGTTTGTTTTTTTGTTTTGGGGGGTTTTTTTTGGAAGGATCCAACCAGGTGTCACATATAGCAATTGACTGGTATGTCTCAAGTCCCTTTTAATCTATAAATTCCCTCTACCTCCTTCTATCATCTTGTGTTCTCTTTGTTGAAAAAACAAGTTATTTGTGTTTAAGAATTTCCTGCATTTTGGATTTTGCTGACTGGCATCCCCTCGTATCATTTAATGTATTCCTCTTTCCCCTAGACTTGCTGTACACTGGTGCTTGTTCTGGGAGCTGGCAGAGGAAAAGCAGTATAAATGATTTCTTGAGTCTGAGGGCCACACTGTTAGCATGCAATTGCATGGCTGTGTTTTAGGCATGCACAACTGGGCTTATTTAAAGGCTATAGTGGGATGGGACCTAGAACCCCTTCTGCCCAAATTCCCTTCACCTATTCTATAGCATCCTCAAAGGAATTTCTATGGAACCTAGCACCCTGCTAAATGCAGTTTAAAAGTCTTTGCTCGGCAAGGAGTCTTTCTGATGTTTGGTCCTACTCACCAGCCTGGTGGATGGTAGAAGCAAAATTGGAAGTGATGAGCTTTCAAAACAGGATATTAACTTGGGTCCGGTCTGGGTGAGGCTGGGTAATTGATGACTCTAAAATCCCTAAAGACAGATGTGTGCTGCTGGGCACACTGCACAACAGAATATTGCCAAATTCAATCTTAATTTTTTTCTGTACCAGAGCCTTTTTACAGTTGAAACTTGGTATCACTATTTAGAAATAACTTACACAATCTGTAATTACAATCCTTTCATTCACAACCTGTCATGCTGTGTTGGCCTTTGGCCAAAATCAGCTTCCATGAACTGCATCTTTACCCAGGAGAAAAAGGTAGAGCCAATGCCTGGGCATCCTGAGAAGCCCCTCTCTGCTTCCTGTTTCTAGATTCCAAAAAACTCACTTTCTCCAGTAATGATGGACAGCCCTAGTCTAGGCATTCCCTGCCCCCGGCGTATCACATTGTGGATAGTCTCGTAAGTCACTGGTCACCAGTGCGTCCTCTCAAATCAGGCTGGCATGAGGTCAGGTACATATTAGGGCTGGATGGACATAAGCTACCTGATATTTCTGAATCTCTCATCACTTCAGTCTGAAAGCAGTAGCATGCCATCTTCAGTTTTGTGGAAATAGGAATTCCTTCTGCTGTACCAGGAAGTGGGGGCAAAGTGATGACATGGGCCAAGTAGCTACCCCTGGGTAGTCATATGGACAGTATTTAAGTTTTTCCCTGGTGGGGGTGATGCAGGCTGAATACTAGCCTGCAGCATATCTACTCTGCCAATGATAGTACATACAAAGCCTCGCAGCAAGGAGTGGCAGGAGGTCTACCATTCTTCCGTCTTCAGCATTGAGGGTAGGGGCTTGATAATGGTGTCAAGGAGATATGGGACAGAGAGGGGAAGTCCTCATCTCTGCTTCCATATTCACACATGTCTCTGGGGTTAGAGAGATTGGCAGTGGGCTTGGCAGCTCTGATATGTCTACAAAGAAGTATCCTTGTGAGTGTCCACAATTGAGTCTAGAGAACTAAGCTCTTCCACTCTCCCACATCTCTTCCATAGATACATTCCTAGGGTCTGGGGGTAATGATACTGGCCACCTCTCAATGAGTAAGGCCCTAAAACTTGTCACTCAGAAAATTCAGGCAGCCCAAATATTGGCCTATCAGGTGAGAACCAGACCCCATGGAAACAACCCACTCTTCCGCTGCTTCCACTAGGAAAGAGACCAAGTTTTAAACTCATTCCAATATACATGTATGCCTGAGGTTTATGATACCTACAAACAGTTGTACTTGAAATGCCTGATAAGCTGTCCAGGTAGTAGCAGTGATTGCAGTAATCTACAGGGTGCACACAGAGAGCCAAACATCCTTCTGTTATCCCTTTGTAATACACAGATGGTGGGCAGTGCTGCGAGCACAGGGAATGAAGGGGAGGTATTGTGTAATCCCCTGCTGCTTGGAAGGGGAAAGCATGAACTCTGGAGACTGACGGTCTCTGGAAATGTCGAATCAGGAGGGCTGAGCTGGGCAAGGGTTGAGTTCAGTCTAGGGCTAGGCCCCCTCACCACAGTACTCACCCTTAAAATGTGTCAGACCAGGGGGTTAATGCCAGCCATCCTGTCCCAAAGTCTTGACAAGTTTCCAATAAGGTTGTTAATCAAATGGAGAATAATTTAACAACAGGCTCCAAACCGAACTAGGGAAGTAGGAAGCCAGGGAAACAAAAAGCTAGAGCAGCAGCGGTGGCAAGTAGAGGAAGGTCTGGCCCAGTTCCCGAGACAGTGCCAATGCGTGCAGTGGCTAAATTTTTGCCGGGGGGTGTTGGGTTCACTTAAGGAACCTTGAATAGAACGGATGCCTTAGGATATCACCACTGCTTCAAAATCTTTGAGACACAACAGCAAAAGCAGATGAGTAAGCTGAGTTGTAAACTAAAGATTATAGCAAGACAGGAGAGAATCATGTGATTATAGCTCACATTCCCAAAACCAAAGAAAATAGGTCTTCCTTTTTGCCTTTTGAAGTTATACCTACTTAGGATTGCTTCTCTGGATAGCATCCAACACATAGTTAGCAGAAAGTGAAGTGTTTCAAATATCTTAGGAGAAATGCCTAAGGATTTGATGAGATTTTGGATTGCTATGGTAGTTGTTGGTCTGCTTTTGTAAACTAAAAAACATAATAATAAGCATGTGATAAGCATGTTCTTAAGAGAGGATTTTGAGATTGGCTTATTAGGCACATTCATTTATTCATCTATCAACAGATGCTTAATACCTTTTTTAATCATACTATTCTAGACATTGCATAGGATAGCAGTTCTCAAACTTTTTAGTCTCAAGACTCCTATATACTTATAAAAATTGTTGAGGCCCCAAAAGAGCTTTTGCTTACTTGGGTTATGTCTATCATATATTAGATATCATCATATTAGAAATTAGAACTAAGAAATATTTAAAATATTTGTTTAAAAATCATAACAAAACCATCACATGTTCACATTAATAGCATATTTTATTAAAAAATAATTTTATTTTTGCAAATCTCTTTAATATCTGGCTTAAGAGAAGACCCAACTGGATTCTCATATCTCCTTCTGCTCAGTCTGTTGCAATATATTGTTTTTATTGAAATATATGAGGAAAATCCAGCTTCACACTGATATGTAGTTAGAAAGGGAAAGTATATTTTAATAGCCTTTAGAATAATTGTGACTATCCTTGATCCTACATTAAAACTCACCAAGGAGGACTTTCTTAAAGGTTATTTGCATTATAGAATCTGAAACCACATCAAGAACTTTTCAAACTCTGTTAATTAAAATCCATTTGTCTATCTTGAACTTGGACTGGGTCTTTGACCCATGCATGATTTGCAGGCACCATGCAGTAGTTATTTTGGAAAATACTAAGTTGTGCTAAGTTTTCCAAATGTTGACACTTTTCATTATACACTGTCAAAAAATCACCTTTATTAATTTCACCACCAATTTCATCAAGAAAAGTTTTAAAAATTGGGAAGTTGTTAAGCTTACGGCAGTAGATAAACATTTTCTAAAATTTGAATTTTTGTGTGAATTTTATCATTGGCCACAAATACTATTCAGTGGTTGTCCTTGAAGTGACCAGCTCACTCCACTCACTTTTTATAAAATGTCTGCCAAATATCCAAAACTGAATAACCATAATTTGTCAGTTCTTTCAAGAAAAAAGGTCCTATTAAAAATAGCAGAAAAATTGAAGTCCTTAATTCTGAGGGAACTGAGACTTTATTAATAAGAGAAAATTTTCTCAAGCAAGAGAGTGACATAATCAAAGAAATATATTAAAGAAATTAATGTGATGATGACAAATGGGATGAATTTCAATGATAAGATTTAGGTTTTTGGGTGGGGATGCAAGCCAATGTGCTAAGCCAAAATCATATTGATAATGTTCTGTTTTTTAAACTGTATGGGGAGAACATGGGTGTTTTATATATAAACATTATGTATGTACATATTCTATTATAAAACATTAGCTTTAGAAAGAAAATAATATACTATACACCCCCTGTAATATACCTTTACGGCTTTCCTAATGCTCAAAGAATTATTAGCATGGAATTTCCTTCCGTAGACACCTCATGTGCTTTAAATAAATTGATTTGGAATTTTTAAAGATGTCTCCTCCTAGCTCATTGATTTTATTTATGATCAGAAAAACATTATTCACTGTTATGCTTCATGTGGCAATAAACTTAACTATTAATTAAAAATATTTGACAGATTTTAAGATCTACATTAATATTCATCAATAAGCAAATGACATTTTATAAAGTAATAACAAATCAATGCTCTCATATATTGATAACATTATAAAACTCTAAAAATTATATTTTACTCAACAGGTTATATTATCACTGAACTACCATCACTTTCACAGGATGCCATGACTACTTTGCAGCAAATAGAATTAATTAAAAATTTAAATTTGAAACCTGATGTTATAATCAATATTAAGGTAAGAATATTAGTTGTTTTGTAACTATAGTTACCATTCTTTTTGATAGTAGTGGAATTCAAGGAATGTCTTCAAGAATATTAATGAGGTGCCTGGGTGGCTCAGTTGGTTAAGTGTCTGCCTTCGGCTCAGGTCATGATTTCAGGGTCTTGGGATCGAGCCCCAAGTTGGGCTCTGCACTGAGTGGGGAGTCTGCTTCTCTCTCTCTCTCAAATAAATAAATAAAATCTTAAAAATACATATTAAGTAATTAAGGAAATAATAACTTATATATCAACCATAGGGACTACTGAGTTATACTTTCTGATACCTGTGTATTTCTGCACCTGCAGTTCCATCCACAGGAAATATCTCTCTGTCTCTTCAACAGTCTTCAACATAGTTATCCTTTGAAAGTCAGTTCAGACATCATCTGTTTCCCTGATGACCACCCCTTCCACACCAACACACATATTAACTAACTCATTCTCTCTCTCTCTCACTTTCTCCTTTTCTCTCTCCCTCTTCCTCTCCTTTTCTCTTCCTCCTTGTCCCCTATACCTTACTTACCACAGGAGAGTTAAATACTTCTCTGATGACCATTCATGTTGCTATCTTCTATCGTATTATCTTATATATTGTACTTGTCCATTTTCCTTCTGGACTCTGCCTTATTTGAAGGCAAGAGCCATGTCTTGCTCATATAAACATCAACTAACACAATATATGGTACCTAATAGACACCTGATAAGTTTGCCAGTTAAATAAAATGAAAGAAGGAGCAAATGAGTTGGACATATGAATGTTAAAAAACATTACTAGGTTGATTAAGAATCAAGCTTGGGTCCTGTTCCCAATCTCTCCTTTATCAACAGCACGTGGTAGATGACATTTAGGAGACTCGATTTCCTCTTTACAAAAATAATAACTGCCTCATGGGGGTATGATAAGAATTCAGGGAGGCCAGGTCTGCTGGTTGATATGAAAATTAATGATAAGCTTTTATATTCATACCTGCCTGATTCCCCAAATGGTTTGACAGCTCAAAGTAAAGGAGATGATTCCCAGCTCAGGTGCTGGCTCCCGGGAGTGTGTTAGGGTTAGCTGTGAGAGAGAGGAGGTGTTACGGTGCTGAGCATGGTGTAATCTGCAGCCCACCACAGGCCGTGGTTGGAGGCCAGTCAAAATCCCTGCACGGACCTTGAGAATGTCACACATGTGAACGTGTGTATAAGGGAGAGAAGAAAAGTCCTCAAACAATTAACTAAAACCAAATATAAAGTCCAAGCCATGGAAAACATAGATTGTGTAGGAAATTAACACCTGGTGGAACAAGAATGCAGATATACAGGCCACTAGCCTCCAAATGCTTCCTACATTTGAAGCATAAATTTGGTTCTGAGTTTGATGAGCCAAAGTAGAAGGGGAAATGTGACCAGTTATATAAAATTCACCCTGTCTGTGAAAAGATAAGACATTCCTCAGGAAAAACAAAATGAGAGAAATTAGAATTAAAATTTTAAATGAGAGAAACATCCTACATGGTTCTTAATATAAAAGATCATCAAGGTAGAGAATGAAGGCCTTAACCTCATTTATATTATAAATGTGAGAGCGAGTACCCAGGCAGTTTCTACACATTGACTCAAGTGTAATCAGAGGGCCTAATGTGAGACAGAACTCAATACAACACACATTTCTCTGGTGGTTTGGCCTTATTTGGGGATAAATCTTGGAATTTCTAGAGCAGAAGTTCTTAGCCTGGAATCCAGGAATCCTTAAATATCCATGAACCTTCTGAAATTATTTTATTATGCATATCTGTTTTTCTGAAGCAAAAGCCAATAGCTTTCCTCATATTCTAACGGGGTCTATACTACCAAAAAAAAAAAAAAAAAAGATTAAGGGCCAGTGATCTACTACAGCAGTGGTTCTCAGAGTATGATCCCAGAGCCAAATGCATCAGCGGCACTCAGAAGCTTGTTAGGAATACATATTCTTAGGGCCCACCCCAGATCTATGACTCAGAAACTCTGGGGGAGGGGGGAGGGGGCGTTCAGCTATCTGTGTTGAAAAGCCCTTCACGTGACTCCGATGCCCGCTGAAGTGTGAGGACCACTGCTCTGAGGCATGTCCTTCAGACTCACCCTTGTATTAGTCACTTCCTGCAAGTGAACGTAGGAGACAGCTGAAGGCAGTAGTCTTTGTCAAGAACCCACAGTGTGGGTATTCTGGGTCACTGAATAAGGAAGGGCAAATACGCATTATAAAAAAGACCCGAGAGGGTTGAAATCTTTCTTGTGAAAAATTAGGAAACCTAAATGAATGTCTTGCCTCAGTAAATACCCATCCCATCTCCACATAGAGGTGGCCTGAAGAAATCCGAAAATGAGCAAGGAAGCTCCTACAGTTTTGTTTCTCAAAGTGTGGTGCATGACTGTCGGCATCAGAATCACTCAGGATGCTTGTTAAAATTACTAATGTTGTTCCTTAGTGCCCTGACTACGATCTATGCCAAAGAGTTTCTGGGCAAAGGCAGCATAGTAGTACAGGGTACATATACAGAAGAGATCAGTGGGATCCTGAAGTCATTGAGAATCGTAGGAAAAAGAGGAAAGAAGCCCAAAAAGAAGGAAAAGGAGAAGAGGAAGGTGAAGAGGAGGATGAGCAAGAAGAAGAAGAGGTAATATCCCAATACCATATACTACACTTTTAAAATTTGCTAGAATTAAACTAAATAATAGCATGGATAAACAAAATAGCAGTTACTAGAGAAAATTACATTTTAAATGTTTATTTAATCTAGGGGAAATAGAACAAATATTTCATGTTTTCAAGAACTATCAGATCATAATCTAGGGGCCATCAAATTTAACCTTCTTGTCAGTATGGAAGTCCTTCCACATCCTGAAGCTAATCTGCTTCATTTCATAGCAACAGAAAGTAATTGGTCACCTACTGTGTGTCAAGCCCTGTGCAAGCTAGAATGAGGAGACCAAGCAATTAAAAAACAGGGTAATGTGGAGAGCAAGTAGCCCAGGCAGAATCCAATTTATGATGTTAACATAATCCCGATTCCAGTATCTAGCAAAGAGATTTTTAGAAAAAAAATCTAAAGCCCAATTTCACATATACATGTTGTTATAATAATCCTAAAGTCAGTGCTTGTAAACATAATGCAATAGAACACCAAAAGAATTTTCTACCATGACTTAATGAGGAAAATTTGATGTGAAGAAATCTGTTAACAGGTGATGGGCTGGATTTGGCCCAGTGGGCAGGTGGGCCATAGTTTGCCAGTCCCTGCTTTACAGAAATATACCTGTGATTTCTATTATAAATTAATTTATTTATATTTTAAGGAATTTTATGTATTTTTGTAATTGCTACAATTTATCATTTATTATAAATGTATAAATACTATTTTTATTAGGCCTACACTCTGCAAAATCAGATGTTAACTTAAAATGGATACATTGCAAATCATTTGTCCCGTAGAAAAGATAACCCTCAAAGGTCACAATTCTGTTGCCCTATAGGATATTAAACAGCCTGTATCCAACTTTGCAATCTGATTTCAGTGATTATATATACTTCAGCTTTGTCATCCTGTTGGTTTTCTCACTAACAGGTTAAATGAATCTTTGACATTTGTTCTTTAATAATAGTTAGATCTTAAAAGTTCTCATAACAAGAAAAATAATTATTAACTGTGTATGGTGATGAATGTTAACCAGACTTATTGTGGTGGTCATTTCTCATATATACAAATATCAAATCATTATGTTGTACACCTGAAACTAATCTAATATTATGTGTCAATTATATCTCAATTTATAAAACCTATTAATATAAGAAAACTCATTTAAAAACATTAAATAACCTTCCCTGTGCAAATAAGGCATTAGATAATAACCAGAATCTGTTTTCTATTTTCTTTTTAAAAAGGAAAACCTCAGGGTGCCTGGGTGGCCCAGTTGGTTAAGTGTCTGACTCCTGGTTTCAGCTCAGGTCGTGATCTCAGGGTCATGTGATCGAGGCCCGAGTGGGGCTCCACGCTCAGCAGGGAGTCTGCTTGAGATTCTCTCTCCCTCTCCCTCTGTCCCTCCCGCTTGTGTGCACGTGCTTTCTCTCGCTCTAAGATAAATAAATCTTTTTTTAAAAAATGGAAAACCTCATAGCAAATGGGAATAAAAGTGTGTCGTTTTAGCATGAATAAAGTATACTGTCTTAAATCAAAGATGGTAAGATAGAGGAGTCACAGCTCACTTAGTTACAGGGACCATGGTTGTGTCAAATTGTGATGTCAGCCAGGAACATAATCGGGAAGAGTGAGGACTAGTAGGCTAGGACTGCACTGTCCAAGATAGTAGCCACTAGTCCTGTGTGGCTATTTAAATTAATTAAAATTATATAAATTTAAAATTTAGTTCCTCAGTAGTACTAGCCACATTTCAAGTGCTCATGACCAAATATGGCTGTGTCTTCCAAACTGGACAACACAGATACACAACATTTCCATCACTGCAGAAAGTTCCACTGGACAGCTAGTGGGTACCTGTCCTTCTTCAGAAGACAGCTGCCTCTCGGCTCCAGCCCAGCCAACTCTTGCCATGTGGGAATGCTAGCCTATTTTTACCAGGTAGTCTGATTTTTCCAAAGAAGCCAAAATCAGCATTTTAAAATACAAGTAGTTGGCAACTAATCCAAAATTTCAACAACACAGTGTAGGCCAATGCTATGGGATATAATCAAATTAATGTCTTCAGACTGACTTCAGCCCCATGGGGCTGTGGTGTCTGCCTAGTAGCACAGCCATGTTCAGAAGTCAGACCTGCAAACTTGTCACCCACTTGGGTTGATGGCCAATAATTTCATGAAACTGTTCACCCTTATATACATACAAATGTTAATCTCCCTGAACTGCTGTAATACCTTTGTATATGTTCTCTTGGCTTCCACTTTCCTCTCCATCCCCATTCCATTCTTTACAAAAGCCGGAGCCATGTTTTAAAAATATGACCCTTAGTGACTTTCTATTACATGTAGATGAAAGTTCAAACACCCTCGTATGGTTTACAAGGCTGTGGACCTGGTCTCACTATCTCATCCCTGGCTGTCTCGCCTTTCTTGCTCACTGTATTCCAGCTACTCCATTGGCCTTCCAGCTAGTCCTCAACTATGCTGGACGCAATCTACCTCCAGCCTTTGCACTTACTATTTCCTCTCCCCTCTGCCTACCACACTTTCCCCCAGATCTTCATGTGCCTACATCCTTCTTCTTTTTTTTTTTAAAGATTTTATTTATTTATTTGACAGAGACACAGTGAGAGAGGGAACACAAGCAGGGGGAGTGGGAGAGGGAGAAGCAGGCCTCCTGCGGAGCAGGGAGCCTGATGCGGGGCTCGATCCCAGGACCCTGGGATTGTGACCTGAGCTGAAGGCAGACGCTTAACGACTGAGCCACCCAGGCGCCCAACCCTACATCCTTCTTCTTGCCTACATCCCACCCCAAGGATGACATCCTCAGAGGCCCAAGCGACTCTGTAACCCAGCACTGTGGTAGAAATATACTCCTGCCATGTGTAATTTTAAATGTGTTAGTAGCTACTTTTTTAAAAAGCAAAAAGAAACAGGTGATAGTAATTTTAATAATATATTTTATTTAATATATTATATCCAAAATATTATGTCAGCATATAATCAACATAAAAATTCTGAGATACATCTTTTTTCATGCTAAGCTATTGAAATTTGGTGTGTATTTCCACTTACAGTACGTTCCAATTCACACTTGCCACATTTCAAGTGCTCAGTAGGTCTGTGTGGGTAGCAGCTATTGTGCTGGACAGCAGAGGTCCAACCCCTTTACCCTGCTTTATTTTCCTCATAGCACTTACCACTTTCTGAAATTATGTTATTTGTTTACTTGCTTATTATCTATCTACCCCCTAATATAAGCTCTGTGAAGCAAGTACCGTATCCCCTGTGCCTGTAACAGTGCTTGGCATACAGTAGGTGCCTAATAAGAAGCTGTGTCTTGACTGAACACATGAGGATATGCCAGTGAAGCCCTCTGCTGGAGAAAGAAGAATGATAGCATCTTTTGAAAAAGACAGTATATATTAAGCCATTTTGAAATGTGTAATTTGGTCCAGTAATTCTACTTTTAGGAACTATTCTAAGGGAGAATATTAGCAGTGTAAAGATTTATCTACAAAGCTATTCAGTGAAACATTATTTATGATTGTGAAACATTTGAAACATTCTTCGTCAACTATAGAATAATGATTAAATAGTAATGTTTTTAGGGCACCTGGGTGGCTCAGTTGGTTAAGCGACTGCCTTTGGCTCAGGTCATGATCCCAGAGTCCTGGGATTGAGTCCCACATTGGACTCCCGGCTCAGCGGGGAGCCTGCTTCTCCCTCTGACCCTCTCCCCTCTCATGCTGTTTCTCTCTCTCTCTCTCTCTCATAAATAAATAAATAAAATCTTAAAAAAAATAGTAATGTTTTTAGGGATATTAGTATATTATTTGACCATTAAAGTAGTATTTAAAACATTTCAAAAAATTTATAAAGTGGCTTATTTAATAGATAATAAGATTCAAATGATATAAAATGTGGATTTATGTGCATTGATAAAAACTAGAATTAATAATAAGATCATAAATTATAATAATAACAGGATAAATATGATCTTGAACACCAACCAGCTCACCAAGTCAGCCTTGGGCTAAGAACCTTTACATGTAGTATTCCCTCTGCCTTCAAATGTCACTTCCTCAGAGAACCCTTTCAAGACCACCTGATATAAAATAGCACTTTTACCCATCACTCCTCATCTCCTCTACCCTGCTTTTTTTCCTAGTACTTACCACCACCCAACATGTTATATATTTACTTGTCTACTTGTTTCTGCTCTGTCTTCCCCAACTGGAATGTGTGCTCCATGAGGCCCAGAGTCTTAGTTGATTTTGTTCACTAGTTTATCTCAAACTCCTACAACAGTGCCTGGCACTGACCAATCTTGAATGAATGAATGAATGAATGAATGAATGAATGCATTACAAGCTCAGGTATTCAGAGTAAATCTAATTTCTTGATTCTGTCTCTAAAAATCAGATATTCTTCCCCTACTCTTCCCTACTTATTGAGGAGGAAAAAAAATTAAGAAGTATCCAAGTTAACTTAAAGTTTTATTCCATCTGATGAAGGCCCCTTAGGGTGTTCAGTGTCTCTAAAATAAAAATTCTCAGTCTCCCTTCTACCTGCTTCTCATTCCAAAAAGGCATGTAGATGTAAGGAGGGAGAGATGTGGCTTGTAAATTAAGTAACCATTAGCATAAAGATTTTGAAAATCTCTTCTTTTCCATTTAGGCATTTATTGCAGAAATGCAAATGGTGGCTGAAATTCTTCAACATGTAGTTCAGAGACCTGAGGATTATTTGGAAAATACTGAAAACATTGTTAAACTTTATAAGGAAATAATTCTTCATCCTTTAGAAGTAAGAACAAGATATAGTGATAAAAATAGAAATATTGATATTTGTGCTCTCTCACTGGTTAAATAGCTTTCACATTTTTTCATCCCTCTGTGTTATCTGATTCTCCACCACTTAAGTTTGATAGAATGCTGTTAGAATAAGGCTTCCATTCGAAAGGCTGTTTCACAGAACAATATCCATTGACTCTTAAAAAAGCAGCAGGATTGTTGAAAAGTGATAAATGAACTGCATTTTTCAAAAGTCACTAGAGGAATTTATTTATGGTTGGAGGTTGGAAAACCCATGTTAAGAGACTATTTTGTAAAAACATTTTCAATCCATAATTTATGGGTTTATCAAAACAAATGTGCATTTAAGATGCATCTTTTATTCTAAAAGGAATTGTTAATTTATTTAAATTGCAATTATCCCCAGATTGGTTTCTATGGTTATCCCATTCAGAGTTGATTATATGTAAACATGATTAAGTCCATTACATATTGAAATAGGAAGATTTTAATTAAAATAATTAGCATTTAAAAAATATGATTACTAAAGTTACAATTATGTGAAAAGCATATTTTATACGGTCAAAAGTCCAGGGCAGACTCTGCCAAATTTGTGTTGGAGATATATTCAACAAACGTTTATCGAACTTGGGTATTTGTCCACTACACCATGCTGAACAATGGAACAAAGACAAAAAAGAGTCCTCAAGTTGCCTCTTCCCATCTGATAGAGAAACTAAAAGGATTTGTTTCATGCTCTCTTATAAGGCTTATATATTTTTATAGACAAATGAGTGGATCATTTTCATTCTCATTGTCCACCCACAAAAGGGGAACCAAATTTAATTTCTTTCTTATGTATGACTTTTATTCCTCCCTACCTCCTCTTCTATTCCTGGCCTTTAAACATAGCTTCTTAAGAGTACTTTGCATGTCTATCTATAATGTTCTTTCTTCCTTCAAACAGAAATATCCTGCAAACTCCTTAAGTGGCTGGCACTGAGGATGAAATAAAGCATAATTAAAATAAGGTTCAGAAAATTAGAAAACTATATTCACAGGCATGAGATAGTCTCTTTAAGGATAAGGACCAGGTCTTCCATCCTGGAAGCCAAAAACCTACATGACACTTGCTGAATTGTAAGATAACTGCCTTTTATGGTAATTCCAGGGTACTGGTGTGTGTAGAGGAAGGTGGAGGAAAGCCATAAAAGGTAGGAGCCTGCAATTCTAGTCTCCTGTGACCTGGCTGAGATGTCAATTCACTTAGGAGGCCAAATCACCAAAATTCAGTGCTCCTCCAAAAGACATGATGAAAGCAAATGGAAGCATCATTTTCTGGTTTATAGTCTGTTTCAGGAGTAGTCCAAGGCCAAGTTCTCATTCCTATCTGTCTTGGAATCCCAACTTGACTCGTGGTCTGATTTGGTGTATATATTTTTAGTCTTAGGAATGTTTATACCCTTTGACTTAATAAGTCCACTCTTAAGATTCTAACTTAAAAAAATCTGAATATAGAAAAGCAGTATGTACTTTCTTGTTCAGAACATGGCTATTTATGTTTAAATAAATAATACTGACATAATGTGCCATCTAAAAGAAAAAGAAGCACTTAGAACCCAACCTCACATAATATTGTGAAAAACAAAATGCCCTGGACAGTTAAGGAGATGATTTTGTTCAGACTATTGTAATAGGGAGAACATTCACTAATGAGAACCATCTCAAGGAAAAGGAGTGGGACCTAGGGGTTTTATGGAGGCAGGTAAACAAAGGAGATATCCTCAAGTCTTAGGGAACGATGGAGAAGGATGAAGACAGATCTTATCTGAATCCTTGAGGAAGGGTAGAGATGGGTCTTATCTCTCAATCCTCCCTACTTTCTGGGAATACAGGGCTCAAATAGAGTTCAACACTGCCAATGTACAAAAATGAAATCGGGTGGATTTTAGATTTTAATATTAAAAACAATAGTGGAAGAAAATTTAGAAGAACATTAATATAATCTTGAGATAGAGAAAATCTAATTTAAGCAAGAAAGGCAATCCAGAAACAATGAAAGCATATAATTTATTATAAAAATGTTTTCTATTGTAGAAGATTCCATAAACAAAGTTAAAAAGATAAATCCTTTTTATCGTTAATGGTAAAATACTTGCAATTGATATGGGTTAAAGACTTTCCATGAGTGTTAGGGCAAAGAAACAATCTGATTTAAAAAAATGCACAGATGTTATGGTTAAATGGTGTACAGAGATAGATATCTAAATATTGAACTTCACCATAGCTAGGGGAATAAAATGTAAAACAAACCAATCTCATTTTCAATTATCAGATTGGTAGAAATTATTCTATGAATATATGCAGAGAGATAGATGCCCCCAAACATTTTCTATTTGGAAAGACTCTAAAACATCAATGTAAAGAAAAACTGAAAAGAAAAAAATCAGAAAGAGAATAAAATTCATGATAAGACTAATCTAGTCTTTTGCAAAAGAGCACTTAAAATAATATACATTATATCACATATAAAGCAAACTATTTAGCTTTAAAGATTTCTTCATAGTATGTTAAGATTCTGATCTTGTGTTCAGTTTTGCCAGTGATCCTGGATTATAAGGTTTCTATTTTCTGCAGGAAGTAATGGCTGAACACAATTCCCAGTATCTCATTGAGCTAGATGGAAATAAACCCCCAGAGGAGCTCTTCATGGTAAGTGCAATGTTCATGAGAATATCCCAAGGTTTGGAAAATCAAAAATTACTGACTGGATTGTACTTATTTTAATAAACATCAAAAATATATTTACATTTTAACACCACTTACTTTTGGAAAATTCCTCTTGAGCCTTAAAAATATGATGTTATACCTATTCCTCTGTCCATATTTAAATCAAAACTATATTTGAATTTAAAATCTCTGTGTAACAAAAAGTACCTCAAAGAAAAGTAAAAGCAAATAATGGCCAATAAGCACATGATAATGAGTCATTAGGGAAATGCAAACAAAAACCATAATGAGTTACCACTTCACACCCACTAAGATGGCTAAAATTCAAAAACAAACAAACAAAAACCAGACAATAGCAAGTGTTTGTGAGGATGTGGAAAAATTGGCGCTCTCATATGTTGCTGGTGGGATTGTAAAATGGTGTGGCTGCTTTGGAAAATAGTTTGGTAGATCCTCAGTAAGTTAAACATGGAATTACCACACAACTCAGCAATCAACTTCTTAGTATATATACCCAAAATAATTGAAAACAGGTGTTCAAATGAAAACATACATGAAGATTCATGGCAGCACTATTCACAATAGCCAAAAGGTAGAAATAAGCCAAATGTCCATATACTGATGAATGGAAAAGTAAAATGTGGTGTATCTATACATTGGAACATCATTCAGCAATAAAACAGAATGAAGCTTTGATACATGCTACAACATAGATGAATCTTGAACACATACTAAGTAAAAGAAAAGTTACAAAAGATCCCATATCATATGATTCCATTTATATAAAATATTCAAAATAGGCAGACCTATCAAAATGGAAAATAGACTAGTGGTTGCCTGGGGTGAGTGTTACCACAATGGGAGATCTCAGGATAAACGTGGAGTGACTACTAATGGGTAAAGGGTTTCTTTTTGGGGCAATGAAAGTGTTCTAAGATTCATTGTGGTGATAGTTGTGCAAATCTATACTAAAAACCACTGAACTATACACTTTAAATGGGTGAATTATATGTGAATTGTTTCTCAGTGAAGCTGATTTTTTAATAAAGAATATACTCCATGCTACTGTAGTCCATTCTACCTCACCAGACATTCTATATGTCTCAATTCTAGAGTTGGAGAATCCCACGGCTCACTCCTTGTGCACTCTTCTCTATCTGCCCTACTAAACGCTGGTAACTCTTAAATTCATGTTACTATCCCAGACCTTTCCCCTGAATTCCACGCCTATATAATCAACTGCTACTCGGTGTATAGAACTGGATGACTAGTAGTTATCTCAGATTTAAGTGTGCAAGAAAAACCCTCTGATCCACTATCACCACCACCTGCCCCAGATATGCTCTTCCCACAGTTTTCCCTTTTGCTAAGTGTCGAATCCCCTCTTCAAGCTGCTCTTCTCTTTTTCTCACATCCCACGTCCAACCAGGCTTTTCCTTCAAAATATATCCAGAATTTGGATTTTACAACACAAGACACACTTTTCTCAAGGTAGAGGGCAGAAGCTCCAATAGGCCTGGCTGAAACTTGCCAAGCCTTGCCAGGCCTCATTTGCCAGTGGCACCGTGGCCTTTCTGCCCATTCCATTGGCCAAAACAAGTTACATGGAGAAGTTCAATACCAGTGGGATAGGGAAGTGTATTCTACCCACAGTGAGCTAGGGAATTAACAAGTGAAGAGAGGGAAGGATAAATTATGAACAAATAATACAATCTACCACAGATGACCATTCTCCATCAGAACTTTGTTGATCCACCATCTCTCACCTCAGAGTCAATGTTTCATATCCTTGTGCAAGGTGTCCCTGTTAGTTTCTAATTCTGCCATAGCAAAGTACCACAAATTAGGTGGTTTAAAATGATAGAAACTTATTTTCTTATAGTTCTGGAGGCTAAAAATAAAAAATCTAGGTGTTGGCAGGGCCCTGCTCCCTCCAAAGCCTCTAGAGTATGATCCAACATTGCCTCTTCCAGCTTCTGGTGGTCCCAAGCATCTCTTGGATCATGGCAGCATAACTCTGATCTCTGCCTCCATCTTGACATGGCTGTATTCCCTCTGCCAGAACAGGTCCCACTGAGCTAGACCTCTAAGGACATGAATATTTGGGGACCAGAGGGCAGACTTTATGGGTTGAATTGTGTTCCCCCAGAAGATATGTTGAGGTCCTAACTCCCAATACCTATGAATGTGACCTTATTTGGAAATAGGATCTTTTCAGATATAAACAAGTTAAGGTGAGTTCATACTGTCTTAGTCTGGGCCCTAACCTAATATGGCGGGTATCCTTATAAGAGAAGAGACTCAGACACATAGGGAGAAGATGGCTATGTGACAACAAAGGCAGAGATTGGAGTGATACATCTACAAGCCAGGGAACACCAGATATTGCTAGCAAACCACCGGAAGGTAGAGGCAAGGAAGTATTCTACACATAAGCTCATCACTGTTTCAGAATATTTGAGATGTTCAAATGTCAATGTATTTAAATATTTGTTCTTTAACAAATTTAGACAGTTATGGACCGACTTAAATATCTGAACCTAAAAAGAGCAGCTGTTTTGACTAAACTTCAGAGTGCAGAGGAAGAAATTACTGACATAATGGAAAATGTAAGTTATTTTTAACTGTTGGAAAGTCTATCTTTTCACTACATGTTGTGACCTTAATTTAATGTATCCTTTCAAAGTATAAAAGGAGCTTCAGGATACCTTTCATAAAATGGATTTGATTTTTAGGGAGAAGCTATAATATCAGCACAATATTTTTGTGAACTCTAAAGAAAAGTTTTGAAACAAAGACAATAAAATCAGAACAATTTACCACAAGAATAGTGAGAAAGAAACCCAAGTTCATTTTTAAAATTTTGTAACACCAAAGGAAGGAAAGACATAAAAGCCCTCAACTCTAGAAGCACTCGTTTATTCCTTCAATCATTCAACCCATTTTTTTTATAACTACTATGTTCCTGACACTGATGTATTATGGATGTGACAGTGATCAAATTATAATTGCTAAGTGCTAAAAAAGCTTTCAGGCCTTTTTTTTTTTTAATAAGATGTTATTTATTTCAGAGAGAGAGTGAGAGAATGAGCATGAGTGGGGGAGGGGCAGGGGAGGAGAATCTTCAAGCAGACTCCCTGCTGAGCACGAGCCCGTCATAGGACTCCATCCCACGACCCATGAGATCCTGCCCTGAGCTGAAACCAAGAGTCAGATGCCTACCTGATTGATCCACTCAGGTCCCCCATTCTCAGGCCTTTAATTGGAGGATTTGATCCACTCTGAGAAGTTTAGTTTCATCTATATGAATAGAAATTGAAAAACAAATACTAGAATCATAGATATCATAATTCAGGTAAAATAATATTTGAAGGAAGAAGTTATTTTGTGGTCCTGTACTGTGTCATCACTAGGTCTCGAGCACAGCTGCAGTATGTACTGGGACTTCAGTTATCTAGTGCTAAAGAGGAAGAAAAGTGGGCCTGATCAGAGAGTCTGTGTGCTGAGCCTCCTCTTCCAGGTCATCATCGAAGGAAAAATTTAAAGTATCCATAAAACCTGGGGGAATTTCCCAGATAGAAAGTTTGTCCTTAGAAATTATTGTATGTGGGGTGCCTGGTGACTCAGTCAGTAGAGCATGTGACTCTTGATCTCAGGGTTGTGAGTTTAAGCCCCACACAGGGCATGGAGCTACTTAAAAAAAAAATTATTGTATGCATAGGCCTAAGGTTATAGTTCATAAGATATATGACTGAAGATGCCTGCCCTGTTTTTCATGAAAGGGCAGAAGTTATGACTGCGTATACTGGGGTCATTATTCATATCCCTTAAGCAGTATTTCTCCAACAGCTCAATTCATCTCCAAAAGAATCACCTAGGAAGCTTCCTACAAATACCGATTCCTTAGGCTCAGATTCCAGATTGACTGAACTAGAATGTCTGGAGGTGGGACCTAGAAATGTATTTTTACAAGATCCATAGAGGATTCCTATACCCACTTAAGTTTAAGAACCCCTACTTTAAAGTTTGGGACACTGAGGGTTGCCTGGGTGGCTCAGTTGGTTAAGTCTCTGCCTTCTGCTCAAGTCATGATTTCCGGGTTCTGGGATTGAGCCCCGCATTGGGCTCCCTGCTCAGTGGGAAGCCTGCTTCTCCCTCTCCCTCTGCCCTTCCCCCACACCCCCTCCCCCCCCTCGTGCCACACACACACTTGTGCTTTCTCTCTCTCTCTCATAAATAAATAAATCTTTAAAAAAAATAAAGTTTGGGACACTGAGGGAGCCTGATTGATCAAGGTTGATTAAACTTGAAGTTCCTATATTTCAGAGAACTTTAAAAGGATACCCTTCAGTTAAAGGTAGGTGATTTTTAAAAAACCAATGTAATGGGAATGTTTAAAGCAATGATTCCTAGCCCTGACAGCCCAGTGGTATCATCTAGGAAGCTCTTTAAATATATTAATGCCCAGATCAATTAAAACAGAATCTGGGATAGGACTCTGGCATTAATTAAAACAGGATATCAAAGTCATATCAAAGGTACAGGCAAAAAAAGAAAAAAATAGATGAATTGGACTTCATCAAAATGAAAAATATTTGTTCATCAAAGGACACTATCAACGGAGTGAAAAGATAGCCCACAGAATGGGAGAGGATATTTGTGAATCATATTATCTGATGAGGGATTAATATCCAGAACATATAAAGAACTCCTACAACTCAACAATAATAAAACAACCCAATTCAAAAATGCACAAAGACCTAAATAGACATTTCTCCAAAGATTTACAAATGGCTAATAAACACATGAAAGGATATTTAACATAACTAGTTATTAGGGAAATGCAAATCTAAACTATAATGAAATACTACTTTATACCCATTAGGATAGCTGTTATCCAAAAAACAGAAAATAAGTGTTGTCAAGGATGGAGAAAAATTAGAATGTTGGTGCATTGTTGATGGGGATGTAAAATGATGTAACACTATGTGAAACAGTTTGTTGGATCCTCAAAATGTTAAATACAGACTTACCATATGACCTAGCAATTCCACTCCTAGGTATATACCCAAACAAACTGAAAGCAGGGACTCAAACAGATACTTGTACACCGATGTTCATAGCCACTTTATTCACAATAGTCAGAAGGTAAAATTAACCCAAATGTCCATCAAAGGATGAATGGATAACAGTGATATATATATATATACATGTACATACATACCTACATACACGCATGCACACACACACACACTGAAATGTTATTCAGCCTTAAAAAGGAATGAAATTCTGACACATGCTAAAGTATGTATGAAACTTGGAAACATGCCAAGTGATGCAAGCCAGACACAAAAGACAAATACGATTCTACTTTTATGAGGAAGGGTGGAATGGGGAGTTATTGTTTAATGGGTGCAGAGCTTCTGTTTGGGTTAATGAAAAAGTTCTGGAAACGGATAGTGGTCATGGTCACAACATTGTCAGTGTATTTCATGCCACTGAATTATACACTTAAAGATAGTTAAAATGTTATATATATTGTACCATAATTAAAAAAACAACCCCAAAACCTCCTTGCAGATTCTACTGTGCAACCAGGGATGGGAACCACTGGTTTAAAGGGATGAAGAGACACAAAGATGTCATTGTGGGCTCGAACTCCCTGGTGAAGAGTGTGAGACCTATAACATCTGATGAGCTGTTGGAGAGGAGGGGGATGTGTGGGTGGGGAGGTGGGCGGGGATGGGGGGGTGTGGTGGGAGGAAGGACAGTGTCAGGCTGGCACCCAGCACAGTAGATGGTAACAGCATTGATTTTCGAATCGGACAGATCTAGATTTGAATTCCAGATCTAAAGCTTACCAGATCTGTGACTTTGCTTAACCCTACCTTTTATTCAGTTGTTAAAAAAAGGGATGATAGGGCGCCTGGGTGGCTCAGTTGGTTAAGCGACTGCCTTTGGCTCAGGTCATGATCCTGGAGTCCCAGGATCGAGTCCCGCATCGGGCTCCCTGCTCTGCAGGGAGCCTGCTTCTCCCTCTGACCCTCCCCCCTCTCATGTGCTCTCTGTCTCTCTCATTCTCTCTGTCTCAGATAAATAAGTAAAATCTTTAAAAAAAAAAAAAAGGGGGATGATAGGGGCGCCTGGGTGGCTCAGTCGGCTGAGCATCTGCCTTAGGCTCAGGTCATGATCCCGGGGTCCTGGGACCAAGCCCCGCATTGGGCTCCCTGCTCGCCGGGAGCCTGCTTCTCTCTCTGCCTGCCGCTCTCCCTCCTTGTACTCTCTCTTTCTCTCTCTGACAAATAAATAAAATCTTTTTTAAAATATTTTTTTAAAAAAAGGGATGATAACCCCTACGACATAGTGTTATTATAAGGATCACATGAGATGATGCTTGCGAAGTTCCCAGAACCAATGATAATCAGAATATCAGAGAGCTGTATTGCAGGGCAAGGCGGGCTTCATGGGCTAGCAACCCATGCAATCACGCAGGACCCCATCCTTAGCAGATCCCCACGGCTTGCTTAATGAAATTCTTCATAACTTTAGAACAAGGGCCCTGCATTGCCGTTTTGTACTGGGCCTGGTGACTTAGCTGACGGAGCGCAGGGACTCCCACCCAACCGCAAGAGCGCTGGCAGTAGAGCTGAGAATCTCTGCTGTGCTGGGCATTAACTGGAGTTACTGGATCATGGAAGGGTCCAGAAGCTCTTCAGCAAGAGGCTCAAGTGGAAGGAGAGCTTGAGTATAGTGGCTCTAGCTGCCAGCTCTGTCCTGCCTGGCTGTGTCCGAGGGCCCTCTCACAAGATCCTTGGGGTCAGTCTCTCAGTCTCTCCAGAAGGGGAGCCTCCAGTCTTCTGATGAAAGGAGAAGTGGTGGCAGGATTGAGGGAAAGTTGGCTGACTGAGTGAAATGGGGAGTAGCTCTGGCCCCTAGCACTTCCTTTTCAAGATTTTCAACCAATCCCCCTGTCTTTTGCTCTCTGTCACCCCCTTCAGAGGTACCTGATGTCAACAGGTCCTGAATCCCTCTAGGATTTTGCAGAGTGAATCAACTGGTTTCTTGTCCCCAGCCCATCTCACACCCATCCCTGCCACCACAGACACTGAGCCCTCACTTTTTTCCAATTTAAGTCCGTTTCCACCATCCATCTGCTTTCTAGCTTATGAAAATGTGTAGCGGTGCTGATCAGCTGTCAGCTCGTCTGGTGTCCCCTCCCATCCTGTGTTCTTGTGAGTTCATTCCTTTTTGCATTCTCTGCTATCAATTCTGTGAAGTTTTAGGAAAGCAGCAAATACAAATACGTGTGTTCAGTCGGCCTGGTTTAACCAGAGGCAGTCCTGAGCATTTTTAGACTGTAATATCAAACTCATTGGAAAGCTCATTTTCTCATTGCCCCTCAGCACCTACTAGACATGTGGCCTCAGGGCTTGAGGTTGAGAGAAGAGCATGGTTTGCCATTTAAACACGTTTCCTTTGAGAGAATGCCCACTGTCTGCTAGTCAAACACTTTTCCCAAGTTTGGACAAGAAATAAGGATGATAAGGAAACAGTGACTGCCTCCTGTCTTAACTAGAAACATTTCAGTCCCTAGTTCATTTTAGACTCCATGGAGAAGGGTGGTAGCCCAATGTGGCCCACTGATGAGCTCCTCTGTCTCATGCACCTCCCCTAAGCATCGACAGTTTCCTTAACATTTAGCTACTTCTTTCAGCCTTCAGTTCGGACATTCATGCAGCATCCCTGCAGCATGCATGCCTCTTTGCTCTCTGATGCAACAGTGGTCCAGGCAAGACCGTAGCTCCCATTCTCATCTGTCCTCCAGTCAGCTCTGGAGCCAGCAGATACATGTGAGATCTACGACTGAAGGTTGGAGAGAGCTAACCTGGACCCTTTTCCCCCAGCAGTTGCCCACCATGCCCCCTCTCCCCAATTGTCTCGTCCCCTGAAATCTGCAGTCTCGAGAAGTGGCTCTTAACTTCTTTGGAGGTGACCAACAGAAGATTGCTGAGGGAGACTTTATATTTTAAGAACAACAGAAGAGCTAAGTAAATGCAAAAAAAAAAAAAGCCATCTGTATATCATCATACTATTTAAAAACTTAGTTAAATTGGCTAAGAATCTGGTACACTTTCAAACCTTTTCTTTTTTTCTTTTAGAGAGAGCATGCATAAGCATGCAAGTGGAGGTGGGGGCAGAGGAAGGAGAAGAGATAATCTTAAGCAGGCTCCATGCCCAGCATGGAGCCAGACGCAGGGCTCCATCTCACGACCCTAAGATCATGACCTGAGCTGAAATCAAGAGTCAGACGCTTAACCGACTGAGCCACCAAGGCACCCCAAACCTTTTCAATAAAAATTTTTCCAAATCAGATAATAAAAAAAGATAATAAAAAACACACTATCTAACTTATGTTCATTCTACCTTATAATAGAAAATGCTTGATAAAATTTAAAGCAAGGTCTTGGGGCACCTGGGTGGCTCAGTCGTTAAGCGTCTGCCTTCGGCTCAGGTCATGATCCCAGGGTCCTGGGATGGAGCCCCGCGTCGGGCTCCCTGCTGAGCAGGGAGTCTGCTTCTCCTTCTGCCCCTCCCCCCACTCTCTCTCATGAGCATTCTCTCTCAAATAAATAAATAAATAAATTTTTAAAAAATAGTCCATTCCAAAAAAAGAAAGAAAGCAAGCAACTAAGCAAGGGCCTCATAAACCCAAATCAGGAGCACGGTTACCACATCTTCTCCCTCTCCCACTCCCCCTGCTTGTGCTCCTGCTCTCACTATCTCTCTCTCTGTTGAATAAATAAATAAAATCTTT